ACCAAAGGATCCGACCCTGGGCCAGGTGTGTAACCGTCACACTGTTTTTGCGTTTGTTTTTTACAATGAAGAGGTACCATTCTGCTAATATTTACCATAAAAATGAACTGTTATATGTTCTAAGTCATTTAAATAACAGGAAAATAATATAAGAATATTTTAAATGTTTTATGTAAAAAATACGCAAATCTAGTGAGTTCTCGGCGAATAATTTGTACATATGTTCTTCAGAAAAACACGCGAATATTCGGGGTTTCCGTGAATAACAAGTACATATGTTCTAAAGAAAAATCCGCAAATGTGTGATACCGCGAATGTGCGAAGCCGTGAATGCTGAAACGCGAATAGGCGGGGGCTCACTGTACTGAATAATTTTCAGCGTTGCTGTTAAAATAGCATCGTAACCAATGGTTATATTCTCTCGTTTCTGCAAACAAAACAATAAAATGTACACCATTCTTCTGCGGCCAATCATCTTACTTATAAAACGCAGATTGTGTGTGTCTCTGTGTGTGTGTCTGTACGTTTATATATTGGATCGGATTTCCTACATTTTTCAACCGATTTCAACAAAACTTCACAGGACTACGTAAAATTACCTTGCGGTGGTTCTGACAGTGCCAAAAATTGGAAAAACACAATTGTTTTTGCATGAAATAAATTTGAAAATACGATTAAGAGGCATTAATGAAATCATTGTGTCATACTTATTAATATCGAGTTATCAAGTTATACTTATTATAAAACCCAGGTTGGTTGTGTGTGTGTGTGTGTGTGTGTGTGTGTGTGTGTGTGTGTGTGTGTGTGTGTGTGTGTGTTCGTTTTATATATGGGATGGATTTCCTACATTTTTCAACCGATTTCAACAAAACTTCACTTTTTTTGGCAGGTAGTGTTTCTTATTGTCTTGCACACTTTTTTTCTTTATTTTTTACATTCAGAATGCTTTAAAATTCCATTTACAAGACAATTGACTATAATAAAATTCTATTCAATCGATAGACTCATAACGATTGAAAGCAATGTTTTTGTTTGAGTTTGGGTTTGACCAATTCGTAAAAAAAAGACAAAAAAAAGCTAATTAAGACATGCGTGTCCGTCAACCTTAAACAATAATCTTTGTCAATTTTATTTTTCAGTCTTTATGATGGTCGATACTTGATCTATCTCTTACTGTTATATCCCCGGGCAACGCCGGGCTCTACTGCTAGTTGGTTCTAAGTAGCACAGGTTGCCTTTTACGTTCTTCCTTCTATTCTCACGTCCATTTAGTATCATTAAGCTTTAGAGCATAGGGTCACACAACCTCCCCACGGTAGTTAGTTACTGCTGCTGTGGTTTCTCTTGTTCTTTTACGGGATGGAACTGTCAGTCCGAGACCGAAACTGTTTTCAATTCGGAGAGCCCTTCCACTTGATTGATCGCCCAGTCTGTTCTGCTATTTAATTCATGAATCAGAAGGGAACCTTTTCCCAAGTTTATTTACGTGAAAATGAATGAATGGAAACCGGTCAGAATTTAAAGTAATTGCAATTTTAGTAAGTATCTGGTGTCGCAAAATGGCAAAAAAATTCTCATTAATATTAATACTGATTGGTCTTTCTATTTTTATGTCTTATCCCCCATCCGTCTGAGAACGGCTTCTTCTTCTTTTATGTGCCATGTCCCTTCAGGATGTAGGCGATCATAGCCCTCCGCATCTTCTTCTCCATGTAGCTCCTAATAAGTTTTTTTTTATTTTGTTATTTCTCCCAAACCCTGTTCTACCGTCCGTTTGCTCAATCTCATCAAGTATGTTACGCACTGCTTACCACTGTCCTTTCCCTCGTTCTGTCCTCTGAGTATCAGATTTTCCAAGCCTCTTTCCTGTGTCCCCCAGAAATTTGAACTGACCCTCAAATGTAAGTTTCCATTTTGTTTCCATTTTCTCGTCGTTGCTCACATGTAGAATTTTCTAGGGTAGATTTACCTTTTGAGAGTTCTGAGGTGATAATTTTCTTTTCAGCATCAATTAAACTGCTTTTACAGCCCATCATTTCACTAAATTCTTAGACTTTTCTAATAATTTGGCACGCCCAAATCACCGTGCTGATAACAAATATGGCGCCAGTTTGTGTACATTGCGCAGATCAGTACGAAACTTTCAGTGATTGTGCAGGTCAGCGTTGCCAACATTGTGTGAAAATTTTGTGTGAATTAATTGGACGGTTTTTGAAATAGAAAAAAAGTTATCTCGATAATAATTTGGCACGCAGTGTATACTTAGTGTCGTTTTCCTTGTCTCCCTTCGGTAAGAGCTTTTGTCGTTTCCTTTCCGTGTCTGCTTTGATTACAGATATTAATTTAGATTCACATCCGAAAAGAATTCAGTGACGGAAGACGAGAAGTCGGCACAGGTGAATATAGTAATTTTTTTAGAAACAAATTAGTATATTCAAATGAGCTTCATCATTGAATAGTTTCTGTAAGATACATATCAGGTTTAAGATGATTTAATTACCCATTAGGCGGTTCCCTTATGTTCGCAAAAGTTAAGCAACGCCGAGCCTGGTCAGTACCTGGGTGACGGCTTGGGAATACCAGGTGCTGTAATGTTAGATGTGATGTTGTTGTCATAAATAATGGCTCGGAATTGTTAATCGGATAGGCGAGTTCAAATTCCAGTTGGGTCCGTTATATTCGCTGACACGCAAATGCCGTTAAAAAAAGTATAAATTAATCTATTCTCCCCCAATTATCGATTAATTAATAAGATTTATATCACTAAAACCACTTCAATCTCAAAAGGCGTACAAAATAATTATATTTCGATATTAAAAACATATAGAGGTTAATATGCTGCTGAAAAAAAAAAACGACAAAAATTCCCTCATTATTCGGACTATTGTCCTCATCTTTGTCGCCATATTTATCACAACATTTCGGCAGTTGTACGCTCCGGCCTTCTTCAGGTGATTGGAATGTCGAACTGAACCCTTTATTTCGCTCACTGGGGTAGACTGTTCTAGTTCCACGTGCCATGTTTGATGGATGTCAGTTATCCGTTATCTCCTGTTAATTTTCTCTCTGAAAGTTCTCCACTGCCTTAACCGGGTATTGAACTCACACTCTTTTGGGTCCTGTCACTGGATCTAACCAACGCCTTTATCCACTGTGCCATCTGTCCTTGAGGACACCTGGGTATGAATTTCCGGGATGTTAATTAGAGACCATTATATTAACAGTTCAGGATCACATCGGCGTGATCGTCCTGGGTATGACGATAAACTACACCCGGCAGCAAGACTTTTAATCGGGAAGTTTTGAGGGGCGTGGAACCTTGTTCCCAGGTCTACCTGTTAATCTAGAAGCTATGGGTAAATAGTTAACACCAAACTGGGCTCAAAACACTAAGATTTTATAGTAAAAATACCATCAATACATTTTTATAGTTATAAATATTACCAGCAATATATTTCTGTAAGGCAACAAAATATTTACATTTTTGTAAAAGAAAAAAAAATTTACCAGCAATAATTTTTTGTAAAAGAATTTACTAATGTAAAAGAAATTTAAATTTCGGCATTAAATGACCCAATGGGTTGATATGCATAAAATCAACCAAAATCCCCGACGTGGTGTAATGGTTAACAAGCTTGCTTGGCTAGAACAATTACGACTTTTTTTTTTTTTTTTTTTTTGTGGTCATGAAGATCCATATTTACTGCTAATATTATTATTAATTCCTTAAATTTAAAGAAAATAAATTAAGTAACAATACTAAAAGTATTACGAAACTGGAATTTCTTGAAAAGTCATATAGAGAATATGATTTTTTTTTATATTATAGCCCAAATAGTGATAGTTTATATAGTTTCAAATTATTAAGATAACTTAGATTTCTATAATATAGGTTAATTGCTGTTTTAATTCACATTGAATCATAATTTATAAGATAAATTGTTAATTCAACTACATCATCTCTAGTGATTGTAGTTAAGATTTTTCATTTTTTAAAGCATATTTAGTCATATATAGCATGCTGGTAACTTTATGGTTCATTCATATTGCTTCTTTTTTTTTAATACTCATCAACAGTACATATATGTTCATTACATTCTAAATTATCTGATCTTCTTTAATGATATTTAGTGATTTTCCAAGCTTAGCTTAGCTTAGATGTAGCACAAGGCCGAAAGTATAGGAAACCCAGTGAGGATCGAACTCACTACTCACTTGTAATTGTTCTAATGAGACGAGCTTGCTAACCATTACACTGCCTCAAGGTTCCCTTTCTTCAATAATATTTATGTATGAAATTTTAACATCTTGTGATTTTAATTGTTTTTTCTTATTTAATTTTGCTGAAATTTTATTGAAATCTAATGTTTACCATATTTCTGTTAGGATCATGGTTAATCTTAAAGAATAAAAAGTGAGTTTGATTCTCACTAGGTGGCCCATAGTTTCGGCCACATCTAAGCTACGCTTGGAAAATAACTATATCTGGCAGTTGTGGCCCCTCGGCGTGGTGTAATGGTTAGCAAGCTTGTCTCGCTAGATCAGTTACGACTGAAAAGTGAGTTCGATCCTCACTAGGTGGCCCATACTTTCGGCCTTATGCTACATCTAAGCTACGCTTAGAAAATAACCATTACGTTAAAAGTTTCGCCATTGGCGTCATCTTTGGCAATGTTAGTTATTTTAAAGTAATTTAAACATTATTATAAATTGGGTCATATGAAAATAATGTCTTATGGTAACCGCTCTAATAAGTACCTGACTCCTCCTATGGTCACGCATGGTCGGGTCATCGGTGACTAATCTTGTAACCCCACCACGATTGTCTGCTGAGGGAGGTGGCCAGACACCGAGCAGGATTCAAAACAAAAGCGTTCAAAGGGCGGATGACATTTCTTACAAGAAGGTTCATCCATCAAGTGGCATCTAGCACAGTGTACTCCACCGAACTAGATGACCCTTGAAGAATGAACCTTCTGACTGGACCCCATAAGCTTACTCATATCACGTTTAAACACCGGTTCTGGTACGATCACCGAAGTTAAGCAACATCGAGCTTGGTCAATACCGAGATGGGTGACCGCTTGTGAATCCAATATGTTGTAAACTTGGATGTGCGGATGGTATAATGGATGACGGCTCGGAATTGGAAATAAGTGATCCAAGTTCCAATTCCGGTTGAGTTCCTTATATTCACTTACAAGCAAATTCCCCTTCCCAGGGAATGATATGAATTCCCCTCTCCCCGTAGCTATGGGTTCATTAGTAGGACTATCAGAAAATCATTATTATCTTCAAAGAAAATTCATACAATCTAAAAATGTTTTCCAGCTTTAAATAAGCTGAAAAAGATTGATAAGTGTTAAAAGACATGAAACACGGATTCCATAATCCAGTTGGTAAGATGATAAAACGTGTTGGTTACGGTCGCGAAGAATGACTGCTAAATTTCAATCTCAACAAATTTAGAGACAAATCCTACAGATGCATGCTGGGATTTCTTCCAAGCCAATAAAAATGAACAATTCCGAGTCTTACCCACACATTTTGTCTTTCTTGCCTAGAAGTCAGAAGTGAACACTGTTTCGATTCTGTGAATATTTTGCTTTGTTACTGTCTTATAGTATCTTTGCCTTGCTTTCAATTACATTATCTTGTATTATTTATTAATATAATTGCTTTTGAGAATTTTCTCAATTCTGCTTAACCATGGCTGCTTTCTGAACAGTCTTTTCAAGAAGATTATTAATTAACTGATTTGACAGGAACAAATTAAATGCAATCAAGTCAATGTTTTCTTATGCGAGAGACCTCAAGTAGGACGCGTATATATGATCCATTGCTAAAGATCTTGGAAAAAGGGTCAGTTCCTCAGGAAGTACTCGACTCCTTCTGTCATGCTCTCTCTTTATAAGTGACCAAAAATCAAGTATTGTTGCTATGTCTGGTTTAGAGCTGCACAATCTTCAATTTCCAGCCTGAACAGAGATCAAAAGAATTTACGTTGTCTTATGTGAGATTAATCTTTTAAATCAAAAGGTTATAATCACTTGACTGTACACCTTCTCTCTCTCTCTCTCTCTCTCTCTCTGTGTGTGTGTGTGTGTGTGTGTGTGTGAACACTATGTCTATTTTGTGAACATTTTACATTGTTACTGTCTTATAGTTGTGTTGCTTTGCCTTGCATTACATTGTCTTGTCTCGTATCATTTTGCCCTGCTCTTCTCTTTATTAATATTATTGACAATTTTGTCAACTCCGCTTAACTATGCCTGCTTCCTCGACAACACGGCATCGATGTGTGCAGGGCTTCCTAGCCTGAGGTCAACGAAAAGGGCGGAGTTGTTCACCCGATGACATCAACGGCCACGTGGTTGCGGTTTGACCTGGTGAGAGATGGGCTATGCCGGGTCTAATTGTCCAAGACACGAATGAATACCTCTCCGGCGTTCAACGCAGATATGTGGAGAGAAGCGGTCAGGCGACCAATTGCACAGCAAACCATTGACCACACCCATTTAAGGGACTACTGATGATGATGATGATGATGAAGAAGAAGAAGAAGAAGAAGAAGAAGAAGAAGAAGAAGAAGAAGAAGAAGAAGAAAACAATGTCGTTTGTTTCTATACTCGTTTTCGAAAACAGGATTATAATTGCCGGAGATTAAGGTGATATCTTGCACCATAATAAACATCCGTATTATAATTAGCTACCAGCAACAACGTTGATGTTGCTACTATCAGTAATGACATCATATTTTTCCGTCCGAGCAGTGACGGAAATAGCCGATGTTTTGTTTTTTTTTATTTTGAAAAGCGCACGTTCTTGGCAGACATCTTCCTTGACAGATAACCCTGGAGTGAAATGTCAAAAGTAAAGCCGGTTTTAGTGTCGCAATGATTAAATATCATGATTTGAATAAATAAAATTACAGCAAATGTCTTTTTTTTTTCTTAATGATTTTTTTTCTTTCATTTATCTTTCTCCCTCTTTATATTCCTCACCTCTCTCTATCTCTATCTCTTTTTTTCCATTTTTGCCTTTTGCGTTTGTTTGTTTTTTTTATCTCATCTCTTTCTTTTTTCTTTTTTTTTTTTACTTTTCTAGACTTTCAATTGTAGATAAAGTTAAGTATAATCAAGGATTCATTAGCTGCATTATTCTTTGCTGATGCACTACTTAGCAAACTAAATAAATAAGAAGCACTCTGAAATGAACTGCACTTTGAGACGGAGTTCAGTTGCAATGCATTTAACTAAGATAGCCTTTCAATTCACAAGTGACACATAATAGACTATACGCTACATGGACTGAACAACTTCTGATAAAACAATCGTACCAAATATTCAAGTTAAATAAAATTCCTGGAGAAGAAAGCGCCCATTGGAACTTAAACTCAACCTAGATCTCAAGTGGAACTCTTCCATACGATGCATCTCTAAAGAGACTGGGAAAAAAATGGTCGGTTCTCTGTACCGTTGTAGTAAGTATCTGAATCCTCCTGCTCTTCTCCGCTTTTATGAGAGACAAATCCGGCCGGTAATGGAATACTGCTGCTATATACAGGAGCTGCCCGGTCTTCGCTTTCCACTCTCGATAGAGTCGAAAAGCGTCTACGCGTCCTCGTAGAGGATGAATTATTCTCCGCTCTAAAACCTCTTTCCCACCGAAGAAAAGTCGCAAGCCTCTCGCTTCTATGTTGCTATTTCTATGGAAAATATTCAGACGAACGACATTCCACCAGTTCTATCCTTCACGGCTAAGGTCCGCCATGCCACGCACATTGTAGCGAATCACCCTCATCACTTTTGTATTCCACTAGTAAGATGCAAGTTCTACTCGAGCATCTTTTTCCAACCGACTCCCGAGAGGATGCTTTCCCGATTACTACGATCTTAACCTGTTCAAGTCCAGGACTAACCGTTATCTTCCCACATATCCCTATAAACTCTACCTGTTACTTTGTAACCCACTAACTCGAGCGGATCGTTGTACAGAGTTCGTCATGACGATAAACTACATCCGGGAGCAAGGTCTCTGATCGGAAGATTGGCAGTTTTGAGGGGCGTGGAAGTAACTCTTAATTGCTGTTGTTCCCAGTTCCACCCTGATCTGGGATGACAGTACCCGTCAGGGTCCTAGTTATGGGCAAATACTGAAACCCCAAACAAAAATCAATAGTACATTTTTATAGTAAAATTACCAACAATACATTTTATGATCTACATAATATATATATATATATATATATATATATATATATAAACATCTGTAGTTGAAAGCATAAATCTACGTACAAAATACTTAGATTTTGGCATTAAATAACCCATAGTGGTTGATATATCACCAAACATAATCAACTAAACAACGAACATGAAAGAACTCTCATGACATTAATCTATATAATATCCTATAATGTCTTAAAGAAATCAGTGTATTCCAAAATATAACTTCAAAACTATAACATAAAACACAGAAATCACCGCATCTAATAATTATGTCCATACAAACATGTATAGGCAGAAAAGCTGAGTATCATCTACCATGTATTCAATTGTGAAAGCAGAATAACATATATTTGTATTACAGTAGAACTCCAAAAATCCGGACATAGCATAATCTAGACTTCCACGAATTAGACTTCCTTTTATTGACATATATATGAAGCCTTTTCTTCCTTGAATCAGAACAGTACCTTCAATACCAAACGTCTTGGATATTCAGTTTAGAGGAATTGTACTGTATATCTATTTTTGTCTTCCTTTACAGATTATAATTGTTTTTGAATAAGATATTTCATAAATTTTTAAATATTTCATTAACTGTGTTAGTTTTTCCCAAATTACAATATTTGTTTAGCACAAATGTTTTCATTACAATTGGTTGTCAATTATTTTTTTGTAAATTTATGTATTCAATTTACACTTTAAATAAAAACGAATCAACGTTACAAACTACCTTTTGTATCCTAAACTCTAAAACTTAATAAAAAATTTAGCTTGCCACAGTAGCCTTTTCTTCCTTGAATCCGAACGGTACCCTTAATATCGAACATCTCAGTTTGGAGGAGTTGTATTGTATTAGTATTTATGTCTTACAAGGGTCATTTACTAAAACTAACTTAATTACAATTGTAAAGAAAATTTGCTTTGTTTAATGAAAATAAACATTGCGCGATATTTGTGAATCAGTTTTAACATATTTCAAAATCTATGTTTTCTTAATAGGACTGGATTATACCAACGGATTACGACCATATATATATATATATATATATATATAGTAAAGTATTTACATTAGTCGGACTATTGTCCTCATCCTTGTCACAACGTTTCGGCCGTTGTACGCTCCGGCCTTCTTCAGGTGGTTGGAATTTCGAGCTGAACCCTTTATTTCGATCGCTGGGGTAGACTGTTCTAGTTCCACGTGCCATGTTTGATGGATGTCAGTTATCAGTTATCTAATGCTAATTTTCCCTCTGAAAGTTCTCCACTGCCTTAACCAGGAATTGAACTCACCTTCTTTGGGTCTGTCACTGGATCTAACCAACGCATTTATCCATTGTGCCATGCGTTCTTGAGGACATCTGGGTATGAACTTCTGAGTATTATAAACCTAATGTTTTCAGCATCATTTTTACCAGTGCTCATATTGCAATTTTTTTGCTGTTATCATTGCATGTCTTTACCAGAGATCATATTGCAACTTTGTTATCATTGCTTTTCTCTGGCACTCCTTATTACTGGTTCCCATATTGTATTTATTTCTATGCTTGGTCGGCTCAGGAGATTTTTGTGGCCTAGCATATGTGCTGATTCCTTAAGTTTACGAATTTTCCAATATATATATGTAGTAGAACTCTCCAAATCCGAACATAATCTAGACTTCCACGAATTAGACTTCCTTGTATTGACATATATATGAAGCCTTTTCTTCCTTGAATCAGAACAGCACTTTCAATACTAAACATCTTGGATATTCGGTTTCGACGAGTTGTACTGTATATCCTTATTTTTGACTTCCTTTACAGATTATAATTGTTTCTGAATAAGATATTTTATAATTTTTTAAACATTTCATAAACTGTGTTAGTTTTTCACAAATT